ACTCTAATTTCCACTTGAAAGTTCAAAACCTATCACTGGCAACAAATACTCAGGAGTTTCCCTTGAGGTGGCAGCTGGCTGTTCACTTTGGGAAAGACACCTGTGACAGGCCCAGCCTGAGCACCCGCCGGGTCCGTTAGCCTTCGTGCGGGTCCGCCGGTGTTCCAGGAAAAGTGGCAGCTCGTTCAGCCTGAACCACACAGGTGTTGCTCCAAAGGCCACCACCGCATGCAGCAGAGGCGTCACAGCGCAGAGGCATCGCACAGTTAGACAGCTATGCACACAAGAGCCAACATGTTCTGCAACACCCTTTTTTCCTGCTTTATCGGCGGCATCCTCGAGGGAATCGGACTGCTCCCATGCATGGGGCGGTGAAGACAGCAGCCTCCACGCAGTGCAGTGCCGCGCCTCCGTTCACGTCCAGGCGCCCGGCAGTGCGGTGCTGCGCCTGCATTCACACCCAGGCGCCGGGCAGCTCACCCACCAGCTCTTTGCACTGTGAGTGCAAAGCTCAACAAGGCAGAAAAGACTAATGATGCCTTCTGTTATGAAAATGGTGAACTTGTGGACTGCCTGAACAGGCCAGGGAAGCCTGGGAGGCCACGGGTCAGCTGTCTGGTTCTGTGTTCCTGCCACCACCAGTTACCATCCCATCCTAACACATCTGGCTTTAGCCCCACAGCCTCTCCACATGAACCCTTCAGTACGGACACTGCGATACAGTTTGGTGTGTTTGCTTGGCCAGCAAGGCTTCATTTCTCAAGTTCCACTTCCTTTCACTGCGAGCCATGTGATGTAGGTCCCTTAGGCAAGCCATTTAACTAAAGCCCGTTTCTTCCTAAATCACATGAAATAATGATCCCTGACTAACTTAGGTGCTATTGAGCCTTAAAGATATGACCAAGGTGGAAACCCTTTGCAAATTATTCATTTCTTCATCAGTACATTCTTAATGAATCCTTGCTATGTGCCAGGCACTGTTCTATGTACAAGCAGGAACAAAATCCTTGCTTTATAATAAAAAGTTCAGTTCTTGAACAGGAGGGGTCTACCAAGGAAAATATCAGAGAAATCAAGCATGATCATGAGAGAGGGGGAGCTGCTTGGGATGGGGCGATCAGTTAGGGAAGACCTCTCTGAGGAAGTGATCCAGCAGCTGAGCCAAAGGACAAGTAGCAGTGAGGTGTGCAAAGAGCATTCTGGGCCTTTCCATTCAAGAAGCAGAAAAGGGCAGGCAGAGCTTGATCCTGAAGCTCTGTGAGCCAGGGTGAGGACTCTGTTCTGCTCCAAGCACACAGGAAGCCCTCAGAGAGGGCCGATGAGGAAGTAACAGGACCCTACTTACACTTCTAAAAGATGCCTCTGGCCACTCCAGGAAAAAACGGTCATGGAGCAAGAGTGGACACAGCAAGCGCAGCCAGGATGCAGCTGTAGTCACCCAGACAAAGACCGGTGGTTGCCTGAACTGGGCCCGCAGTGGGGAGGACAACCTGGGGCCGTCCACTGTGAGATACGCTTTGGAGGTAAAGTTGACAGGTTCCACTGATGAAGTGGCTGGGGCAATGGAACACGGAGAGGACAGAATCAAAGATAAATCCTCGGTCTACAGCTCGAACAAGTGAGTGGGCTGTGGAGACAACTAGGCACAACAGGCAATCAGGCATCTGAGACGGCCGGGCAGGCCAAAGCCCCAGGGCCAGCTCACGGGCCTCTAAACCTACGAGCCTGGGTGATGCCAGCTAGTGAGCGGCGGACACACAGGAGACAGGGACCCACGAGGAGACCCGGGGCACTCCACGCTCACTGCCCACGGCGAAGAAGTCGCAGGAGGGGTGCTGAGAGGCCTTGGGGGAGCCCTGGAGCTATGGGGGACGCGGAGGCAAGAGGAAGGGCTCCGCTGTGGAACGCTGCTGAGAGGTGGCCCGAGACAAGGACGGAGAAGGGACCCGTAGATTCAGCAGTGAACACGGCCATGCGCAGGTGGGCAGCGCCTGGAAGCGGCCTGCCTGGGGGAGACAGAAGAGCACGCGAGGAGGAGTCACATGCGATGGTGGAGCGTCACTGTTTGTTTGCCTTTTCTTTATCCACATAGCAGTTGGATGCATCTACTCGGTTTCCTCCGCAGTTCACTAAAAGCGTGGCTTACGGAGCAAGGTGCCTACGTCTAGAGACGGCTTGGGAGATGGTTTCGTCTTCTTACCGCTCTACTGCCTACACACGTGCGGGTAGCGTGTCTGCTGATGCTCTTTCAGAACAGTAGCTCTGGAGCTTCCCTGCGTCCATCCCACAACTGGGGCAAAAGAGCCAAAGGCAACCAGTCACCGAGGCGGCCCACTTTCCGGTGGGGAAATGAGCTCTGTGGTAATAACACTAACTACCACGGTACAGCAACGGGAGCGATCTACACACATCGGTTTTGGCCACAGGTCTATGAATGATTCATTTTGAACCGTAATTCATGTAAGTCTAGTTATTTGAAAATTACAAGCCAAAAATGCTACTGGTGCATATACGTATCATTTGCTATGCATAGTACAATTAACCAAACAACAAACTGATTTGATAACGACAGTACTGAAATAACAGTAACTTAGTATTTAAAATGCACTAATAGGGGCATTTGAAAACCAGGAGTGATTCAAAAGAAGACTGTGGGAGTCCCAACTGCGAGAGGCACGTGCTCCAGCTCTGTAAGGATGGATGCCCCGTGCTGAATGCGGAAAACTTTTTGGAGTCATCAGTCAACTTAAGTAAAAATGCCAATTTTGGGAATCCTTAACGCCACAAAATAGGCCACAGGTAACCACTAATATATATGTGAAATGGAAGTATATGGTGCCACACATGGATCACGGGAAGAAGCAAGGGCTGGGTCTGAGTTTTGGGCAGTCAGCGGCCCACCAGAAGTGACCGGGGCGTGGGTCTGTGGACAGGACAACCAGGCCCACACATGTAGCTTTACAACAACGCTGCTGCAGCACAGGGCGGCAGTCTGGCCATCCTGGAATTTCCAGGCTGCCTGGAACTGCAATACCAGAGCAGAAGTCACGAGTAACCCACTGGCCAGAACCAGCCCCACAGACTCGGTCTGTTTGGCCTGCAGTGTTGGATCGCTTTGTGTTTTGTAATATACGAACTAGTGCCAGTATTTTAAAATTGGAAGACTTCACATTTAAAAAAAGTAAGTTTCTGGCTTCTCAAAGGAAAAGAAAAGGGAAATGCAGAGATCTGGCCGAGTGAGGCCCAGCTGCTCTTCAGCTGCCCCAGCACACGCTCTTCAGAGCCCACTATCCCAGCCCTCCTGAAAATCAAGCCTGAGTCAAATATCAGCTGCCAGCATCTCTGAACCTGCGCCATTATTCTTATATCTTTTCATTTATGCTACCTTCCAACGCTTAGCATCATTTGACTTGGCAACCTTTGTCCCAGTAGGGTGTGCTGAAAAGAGCCCCTCAGGGTTTAACCAGAGAAAAGGGACTACAAGGACTGTTAAGATAGCAAACTCTCACAAACTTAACTAAAAATGTTAGCTGTCCTTCATTAAACTAATTGCAAAGGTCAGATAAGCAAACTTTCTCAGACTCACAGAACTTTTCCTCCTCTTAATAACCTATGAAAAGCTTACTAGTGAATGTTGATCATTCACAAATCAATGTTTTAATTAAAAAATCAAAAGCATATCCATTATCAGTTTTGCACAGTTTGAGCACAGGTTTAGGATAGCAGAGGAAACCACTTTTCAAAATAAAAAAAAAAAGGCCCCCCAAATAGAATGAAAAAAAAAAAGATTAGACAGTCACTTGAAAATAAATTTCTTTTCATATGTGCACAGGAACACAAAAGCTCTTAACTACATAATTAGTACTGAAGATATCCATAAGATAGACTTTATACAATCTCTTCCAATAACCACCTCTTTTATTCCTTAAGCTACTTTTGAATAAAACAAATTTTCCTAACCAAAAGTAAACCACATCATTAACTGAAGGGGTTACTGGTGACTGATTAACTAGAATTACCATAAGGGTAATCTTCTTCTATGTGTTCAATGTTATATATGAAAAACAATAATCTCATATAAACGTGTTCATAAGAACAATGACACTATTGTAATACCAACTACCCCCTTATACCTCTAAAATATTTAAATACAATCTTGAAGAAAGTAAGTCACAAAAGACAAATTATAAGTGTATATAGGTGAAACAGCCCCCGCCCCCCCGCCTTTTGCTTTAGAGATGAGGAAATACATGGTGGTGGCCAGATTCAACAAAATTGGCTATTTTCTTCCCCACTAGCTGCTTGTGAGTCACTGTCTATGCTCCAACACCACCGGACTCCCTAAAACCTGGACCCCACTTCTAACTCCATATACTCATACTCTAAGTCCACTATTGGAGAAATTCTGTCTCCAAGTTACAGCAATATGACACCAAAAAAAAAAAGGAGGAAAGTCTGGATTCAAGATAAATTGTTTAGAAGGCTATAATGAAGTTCATCGTAACTCTAAAATACCTTTGCATTGATTGTTACTAGCTGAACATGTGCCAGCAATCTTGTTTCCTGGCACAGTATATCAGACCTTGGCACCTCACCTAGCTTGGATAAAAAAGTGAACTGACCACAAAAGCAGACTAACCACGTGGGCGCAAGTATTATGTCCCAAGGTGTCTTTTTCTCTCAGCGTTAACAGCATTAAGTATAACCAGAGTGGTAAACACTTGCAGTGCTGTATTTTCAAGCTCAAGGTTAACTTTTAGCGTCTGAATTAGAACTTAGTTTGAATTAACACTATCCAGTGAATTAAGTCTAACTAACCAAAACAGCCTTTTCCATTTGCAACCGAAAACTGGCATCTGAAATGGTTTGTGCTTTCTGGATCACTTGCAACACGTGTCTGAGTGAAAATCGCCACTTTCCCAAGGACGCTCTTGTGGCTCTGAACTTTATTCCTCGAGAAAACTGCCAAGGTCCAAGGGGTGCAGCGGGAATCCACTTACCCGATCCTTCATCCTCCAGCTCTGAGCTAAGGATTTGGAGCCTTCAATTTTCTCACAGTGCCTCTTTTTCATAAAAGCCAAAGGCAAGTTCCAGTCCGTAAGGTCGGCCTCGTCTTCCTCCCCCAGGCCCAGAAGAGGCGACTGCAGCATCTCGGACTCCATTACGGGGGGAGGAGGTGGGGGAGTCCTTGGAAGCAAGCGCTCGAGAACCTCCAGCCTTAAAAACTAGTGTGTACCAGAATGGGCGAAATAAGAAACAGAAAGGGAAGGAGTAGGAAGAGAAATGAATGGAGAGTGTGCGGAGCCCCCGGGCTCTAACTCTGCGCGGGAAGTCGGAAGGGCTGGGCAGAGCGGGTGGGAAATGGGGCGGCCCGGGAGCGCACAGACACACGCGGCCCCAGATGCTGAGCCGCGGCCCGCCTCTGAGCCCGTCAGCGCCCGGGGGGCTGCGCGCGGGCTGTCAAGGGCGCGGGGGACTTCAGGCCTCCGACGCCGCGGCCGATCCGAGGACAGGCAGGCCGCCAGCCCCTGATGCCGGCTCGCCGACCGGGCTGTCTCCGGCCGCGGGGAAAAGGTTCCGAGCGCTTCGGGTCTCCTCCGGCTACTCTCAGCCCTGCGGGTCCCGCACTCGCCGGAGCTGCTGCAACGGGAGCCAGGACCGGCCCATCGTGCTCGCCCGCAGCCGGCTCCTCAGCCCCAGGTCCGCGCGGCCCGGCCCGCCCTGGCCTTCGGCCCCGTGGCTCTCTCCTGCCTGAGAACGAGTCCTGAGAAACGGGCAACACGGAGCCGCGGAGGAAATGGGTTACGTGGACTTCTTGGGTTTGGGGAGTTTTGCCCTCTGGTTTGAAACCACAGTGAAACTCCTCTCATCAGCACATCAAGGAGGACGCCATATTGCCGAGGCCCAGCGTGCCTCGCGACCTACGGCGTGGCTGGAAGGCCCAACTTCCTCAAAGCGTTCCGGCCGCGCCTCCCCGGAGGCCGCGAAGGAGAGTCGCGCTTCCTCTCCCCGTTACCATGGTTACCACAATTCAGCTTTCCAGCGTTCATCACCGTTCATTCAATAAATGCGTGATATCAGTCAATTCTACAAATGGAACTATGCTAATTTAATTAATTGAAAAAAGCGTATTATTACAAGTGGCTACATGTTTCTGAAATAAAGAGGAATAGACCCCGTGTTGTTTCTTCCAGATTTTGAAAAGGTAGCAAAAAAGCTTCGGAAAGAACCATTGATAACATCATAGGAGAGTCTTTTGGGGGGTAGAGGGGGCGCATAGTATCCTCTACAGTATCAAACAGATTTTCCTTTTAATTTTTTTTTTTTGGGAACACCAAGTGAAAAAAATTAAGTCCGGTTACAGGTTTTTGTTCTATCCGTGTTATTTTCTGAAACACTGTTCTTGTTTTGACACAGCTTCCTGTACAACCAGAAAAGCTACGGCTTTCTGCGCGTGGAGGCGCGCCTCCCGCCCTCCTCGCGGGGCAGCGAGCCAGAGGCTGTCTCGCCCCCCGCGCCTGGGCTTCCGTGCTCGGTGCCCCCGGATCGGAATCTTGGCTGTGTCTCTTTCCATCTCTGTGGCCTTGGTCAATCCCTTAGGGAGCTCAGGCTGTTTCCTCGACTGTAAAACAGACCGTAATACCCACTTAAAGGGTAAAATTCATCCGTGAGATGCCGTAGTATACAGTGAGTACCTAATAAAATTGAACAATAGAGTGAAATCTGGCAACCCTGAGTGGCTGATTAATCTAAAAGCTGAGGCTGAGCTCTGGAAGATCCCTGTTTCTCCGTGTTTCCCTGGGCTTTGACACAATGCCGTGGTCCGCATCAGAATCCTGACGGTGTTGGTGTTCCTTGCAACATCCAGGTGACGAGTACAATCCCAGATCTCCCACAGAGCACATAGCAAGCATTTAATGAAAATTCTTGGATTAAATCATTACCATTCCAAATATCCATTTGCTGATTACATCCCGCTGAGCCCAGTTCTCACAGATGGAGGCTGCAGTCTTCCTTTCCCATTCTCTGTGTTAGCAAAATGTCCCGCTCAGTCCCCAGCAGCGGCTTCCAGATGGCAGGGTCCTGGGAAGACCCTGTTCTCGCCTGAAGGCAACCGCAGAGCCCCCACTGCGGCCCTGTCACTCTGCAGCACCTGGCAACGAGGGCCAGGGTCCCCCTGGGCCGCAGATAACAGTCCAGGAGCTCTTGGAGGAAGACTCAACCACAGAAAAGTGGCAGCTTTAAACCCAGTCGTTCCTAACCAGCTCTGTGACCTGGGAAAACCCACTTCATCTTTGGAAGACTCAGTTTCCTCACCTGTGAAGTGTGTGTCACCTTGGGAAATCCACTCCCTCTGTCTGGTATTCCAAGTGGAGGCAGTAAAGGAGACCGTGGAGCCTAGGCTGGCAGATCGTCAGGCCCACCTGGGAAACCCTGAAACATAAAGACGCCTGGGCCCCACCCCACACCTCCTGAATCAAGGGGAGCAGAAGATACGGTTCAGGGTTTGTATTTTTCAACCAGGGGACCCTGGTGATAGCTTGAAATCAGCCAAATTCGGGGATATAGGACAATATTCTCTCTAAGGACGTTAGATAATATTCTCCTCCAATGATTATCTTCCGAATACATGGTGGGCCATCAATAAATATTTGTACCAAATAAATGGACACTATAAAGCAATTACCCAATCTTCCATCTAATAAATCAGAACAAGACATACCCTCTGCTGTTTTGCAAACGTGACCCCAGAAGCCAGAGGTCATTTGGGGCCCATCTGCCGGGCTGAGGCTCAGGGTGCACATATTCTGGCCCCCAGACCACCACTAGTCCTCACAGACACTGGTGGCAAAGCCTCTGCCCTTCTCTGTCCTCAGCCTCCACGTCTGTGACATGAGGATCTTGAAGGTGAGTCTCTAAGGACACTTGAGGCTCAAAATTCTGTGATTCATGTGAACATCAGAAAGGAGCTGGTGACAACCCAGCCCCCAGCCTGAAGATTCAAGAATGGGCTCGAGTCATTTCATGGCATGATGACATTTGAAAGAAACCTCATTCCAGTGTGTCATGGATTATTCTATTCAAGTCCCAGATAAGCTTTTGGACGTGTGGCTCCAGGATGGAGAAGGTAGTGAGTGTCTATGACTCATGACAGGCTGGCAATTCAAGGGCTTCATAGTCTCACCTGCTGATCTCATTACCACGGTGTGTGATCTGCTAGCCACTTGGGCCTGCAGTTCCGATTTCCCATGACTCCAGTTCTTCACAAACAAGGACGTCTCCTGCTTTCCACAAAGCCTCTAAATAAGACACTTTAATCTTGATAACAAGCTTTATGAATCTCAAAAAATGCACGAATCTTGAAACTGGTCTGATTCAAGCTATGAAAATGGGGGAGGCTGTCGATGACATCGTGCTGGTGATGAACATCGGGCTACAGATGTAAAACTAGGAGAGAGGAGGAGCTTTTCAGCCCAGCTCTGGTCAGAAACGGCAGAACACCCTGCAGCCTGCCGGACAGAGAGGGACGCCTTGTCCTAGACTGTGAAGGCAGACCAGATGACCCCTTCCAGCCTTAAAACTTGGGCTATTTGGCAACCAGAAGCCAAAGATACAGCGAAGTGAGCACGAGAACAGATATAAAAACCTGAGTGCATTGGTCAAATACAACGGAAGTCAGGGGTAAGTATAGAGGTAAAAGTTCCGAGATACGGACAGGGTCTGAATAAATGCTCCCGCTAGGTTCCATGTTGCCCAGGAAAAAGGAAGGAGGCTGGGTTCTCACAGCATCCAAGCTTGGCTGTTGGCCCACAGCAACCAACCTAAGCTTTTCTCAAGACCATCGCCACGGCAACGTTCCATCTGCAGGCAGCATGGGCCGCGTTCCACCCTCCAGCAGGGCAGGTTCCCCACTGTCCATCAAGGGCACTGAATGTGTTCTGTCATCAAGAACTGGGAGTGAGACTGGAGGTCAAGCAGCTGCAGAAAACCGGGAGCTTCGCTGAGCAATTGTTTTCCGCACAGGGAGACCGGCCAGCTCCCGTTCTTTCCAGAGAAATCTGTGCTTAGCTTAAAAAAGCCAAAATAGACCTGAAGTATTTTGCTTCTGTCTAAGCACCATTACTCTGTTTTTAGCAAAATCCAAGCCCCCCCCACCAACTGCAGGTCAGAGGTTTTGTTGACAGTGAAGTGAGAAGAGGGGGGAGGGAGGTAACAGGGCCTCACCAACACGCTCCATGGGAAATGCCAGGCCGCACGGAGCCGCCTGGCTGCCTCCCTCTGCCCGGTTCATCCATCAAAAAATAGGGTGATATTTGTGCATGTGATTTGCACCCCGACAGTGTACCTTTCTATTGTATTTATAATTTTTTTTTACACTGAGCATGAATGGTTTTGATAAGCAGAAACAAATAACAGTGTTTTTCTGATTTAGAAAGGAGATGACCTCTGAGTAGCATGGGGGCTGCAGTAAAAATCACCTCAGATTGAACAAACTTCACCTGCTGTCCAATTTCTTCTTTCAGAACTGAGGCGTTTTGCACAGCCTCAGCCTTAAAGAGCCGGCTGCAAGACAGAGCCGAGAGGGAAACGCACAGAGGCTAGGAAACAGAAGTGGGTCCTCAGCAGAGGGTGGCCTGCACCCCAGCCCTTTCTTTCCTACTCTGGGCTGCTCTGTGGGCCGGAAGGACCCTGTCTGGGGAGCCAAGAATTGGGAGCAAGGCGAGGGCCTGAAGCCAATGAGCCCCAGGCCCAGTCCCCTGGGCCCAGCTCCCAGCACGGGCACCCTGACTGCTCGGGCCAGATGGTCTGGTGCGCCCAGCCCCAAGCCTCTGCTGGAGCAGACACCCCAGGGGTCAGAACTGCATGGCCCCCAGGAATTCTCTGCAGAGAAGGGGTGAGAGCAGTGCCCTTTCCCGGTCCCTAGTCCCTCCTTCCTCCCCCAGGACCCTGGAGGCAGAATCACGGAGATGTGGTCTAAACCCAGCACAGAGTGTTTTAAGAAAAACAAAGGGGAAAGGGAAGCTTTTATGATAGAGATGATACTGAGAAAATTTGTTATCCAATAAAAAATATGCAAACTGAATTTTAAACCTTTTATTTTAATAGTATTGCCTACAATAAGATTTTATCTTTATGAAAGCACAAACAATATAACCAATTGTCTTTTTTTAAACTCTCCATTTGTCATTTTACATAATAGTCACATCTCATCAATGATTCTCAGGTCCTCAGGGAGCACAGGCTCCTGGGGGAGCGAAGGCTGACCCAGCCGTCCCCTCTACCCTCCGAGGGGAATTGGAGAACCACCCGTAACTGAAACATCGCAACCCCAGCAGTGTCTGAAGCGAGCCAAGCCCTTTTCATAAGAATTAACTCACTTAATCTTCCTACTAACCCCATGCAAAGGTTCCTGTTTTAGATTCATTTTACCAGGAAGGAAATGGAGACATAGAATGATTACACAGCTTTCTCAACATCTCTTTCCAGGCCAGGGCCACGTGAGAGTCCAACTAGTACAGTCTAAGCCTGCGTCCTGTCGGGAGTGCCTCTGAGTGATCCTGGGTTCAAATCCCTGCGCTGGTGTTTCCCTGCCCCGAACCCCCCCAGTGAGGTGCTGGGCACACCCCAGTCCCAATTTCATGTGGAAACTAGGAGACTAATAGTTGCGTTTCATAGACGTGTTGTCAGTAGTAAGTGAGCTAATGCCAGGCACACAGCAAGCCCTCAAGAAAGGCTAGCTGTTATTATTAACAAAGTGCCCTAGGAAATAAGCTCCATCTGGGCCTATTAAAAAGCCTTCATGGGAAACACAGCATGTGAGCCCCAGCCTCCAAAATGGATTTCCTTTTCATTTTTTGAATAATTTTAATTGGTTTTCTAAATGGAAGTCTTACATGTGAGGTGGGAGGGAGAAGAGGGAAAACTCTCATTTCTCTCAG